TATATATATATATTATTAAAATATCAATATTCTAAGAAATTAAAATATAAATACTCTCTGAAATATTTATTTCAAAAAATTATTTTTTGAAATTTAGATTGTGTCTCTTTATTACTTTAGAATAAAGAATACATACGTAATTATAGTTAAAAATTTCTACGCTTAAATTTGTAAATGAAATGAAAACTGTTTCGAACCTAAAGAAAGAACGAAATTTCTTCGAAATCTAATGTTTTTTTGCACGTTCTTTTTCTTTGTAAGAATTGAAAATTAAAATTACTCTCCATACTTCGAAATATATTTTAAATACAAACTAAAATTTTTAAAATACACCCTAAGTAAAACTATTTTGTATCATTATGAGAAGTTAATTTTATAGCTATGTCATTTCATTCCATTAATTCAGGAAAAGCAGTACAGGTTTATTAATTTTTTATTCGATAATTATCTTTGTGAAGTAACTTTTAAATAATTCCCTTACCTTCTAATAAATAATAAAAAGTGATTCACATTTGAAGATCAAGGGGAGATTGGTTTATGTCCATTTTTTTTACATAAATGTTAATAGGGTTGTAATTTGATGATTAATAAGTTTTGATAAATCAATAATATAAAAAATCGATTCTCCTTGAGAGTTATTACACGGTGAAGATGGGCTGTTTGAACAAAAAACGAATTTTCTACTCATGAATTTGTATTCCACAGAATTAGATTGGGTGAACATGATTAAATTTATTAAATTGATTAAATTGATTTATTAAATTTATTAAACTGATTAAATTTAATTTGTAATTCGTGTTTCAAAACAATTTTGGACCGAAAAATCGCACCAATTTTTCTTACATTTAAAGGAATTAAAAGAGTACACCACGTGAATGTCAGCAATGGCAGAATTCTGTGGAATCACCCCACATACTTAATATTTTACGTCATAAAAATACTTCAAATATAACAAACTTATCATTTTTTCCAGCAACCGATGCATTAATTAATCATTAACATTCCCAAACTAGATTGAAAAAAATATTTTGTTCGTGAATTTTCTTTAATGAAAACAAAATCTGTGAAATCGCTTTCGGTTATAATGATTCCAAAACTAACATTTCACAGTCTGTAAAGTAAGTTATATAAATAAATAAAAAATAATGACTGCAAACATGATAAATGTGACAAAAGGTCGAAGATCTGTTTTTTCACATATGGAACGTTTGTCACTTTTCTAAGCTCGAATCTTACCGACGTCATAAAATAGTTCCACTCATTCTTTTCGTTTTCTTACCGTAGGACTCTTTCCCTAGCTGAAAAATATTGTGACGAGATTAGTTCCTTTGATGAATAGTTTTCTTAAATCTCAGAGGATTTCCATGTTCATTAATATAAATATCACCGAAACTGTGTTTTTTCTCCACTTTAACGCTCGGAAACTATAAATCACAAAATTTTTTCAAGAAACTGACAACTGCAGAGGAAAAATTTGCATGTTATAAAATAGTATTTGTTTATTAAATTGTATTTCTGAGTAAATACTTACTTTTAAGTAGTTATGTTTATTCCCCCGAACTTCACTTTATTTGCTATTATATTTAATAAAATATCTAAAAACTATGAAACATATGTTATAGACATTTGTTTTTCAGGAGCTTGTAAATTTATTTATAACATAAAAACATTAAATTGAAAATATTTCCTAGAGCAGTTACAAAAAGATAAAAATGGAAGTATTTTTATTCAAACAACATGGTTTTTGAAGCTATTCCAATTTCAAAATAGTTATATTATATTTGTAATATATCGTAAAAGTTATATTTGTTATAGTTTGAAATAATATCGCACAGCACATGAACTATTTTCCTATTTATGTTTATTTTTAATATCAAATTCAACTTTGAGTGGTTTAAATTTTAAATTATGTCTTTTTCAATTTTTCTAATAATAGAAACCTGTTTAATTTAGTCAGAAAATAAGGGGTTACTCTGTTACGTTATCATGGTGAAATGCAGAGGAATCAAGTTAATAATTGAAGTTGAAGTAATTATTCTCTTCAATCTTCACAAAGTAGCAACATAATTGATCGAGAAGACGAATTACTAAATATAATTTATCCAATCTGAAAAAAATTTTCATGTCAAATTTAGAACTAGCTTTCTAATTTTAAAATTAATTAATTAATTCTAATATTAATATAAGGTGTACTTATATTAAACGTAACAATAGAAATAGAAAAAAATGCTAGACTAAATAAATAATCAACAGATGCATATTTTGTGATGTTCAAAATTAACATATTTTTAAAAGCAAAAATTAATATATAGAGTTTATTTCTGCTACTATGACGTTTCTGGATTCTTTTTAAATGATAATTTATTGATGATATTTTATTAGATTGTTATAATTGCTTATTATATATTATTGAACATATTTTATTATATCATTAAGATTTTAAACTATTTTAGAGTAATGTTTGAATCACAACAGAGATTAATTAGGCAGGTAATTAATTTATATAAACTCAGAAAAAGAATACGATCAGAATATGGTAAAATGATAAGAATATAAACCAGAACATTGTAAAATTTACGGTATTTCTGACTGTTAGAGAGCACCAATAAGGTCGTCATTTTTTACCGAAGCGCTTTGGTGATGTTATTGAAAAGATTTACAATAAAATATAGTTTTATAATCTGTGATAAAATTCGGTTAAAGTTGGTAAAATTTGGTTATTTTATTGTTTTGGTTAGAAGTGAACGTAAAACTCTAACAACACATCGGCATTCAGACCAGAAATACAGCGTCTCTCTTAAAGAAACCTGTTTTAATACTTAAAGAGGACTAGACGTTCAGATTATCGTACATATCGCTTCCAAAATGTTCGAATTTCGAACATTTTCGGTCAGGCAGCGTGTATCAGTTGTATCTAGTTATATATTTTATATTTAGTATCTAATACATTTCTTTATGCTTGAAGTCGCATTGTAATGAAAAAGATTATTGCATGCAATAAGCTCATGAGTAATAAGTAAATGAAATTATTAACCCCAGGTGAATGTGTTTCATATCACCAATTGTAAAAATAAATAAATAAATAAATAAAAAACAAATAAATAATTAAAAAACTTTAATGATTTTCATAGTTTTAAATAAATAAATAAGCCACGTGAAGTGAATCTGAAGAAAAGAGATGTTCTATGTTTGGGGATGAAAGATGTCAGTCTTCGAAGATAAAACCTTTTTTCCGTCTTAACCGAAAATAAAACCTTTTTTTGAACAGAAATAATTGCGCACTGCAACCATTATGAATCAGTTTTTGTGTCAAAAAAAAGTAATGACTTTTAAAATTCTTAATAAATAAATAAACCACGTGAAGTGATTTGAGTTCACAAAGGAATTCAATAGAATAGTGAAGTGAATATGAAGAAAGGAGATGTTATTTATTTGTGATGAAAAATGACAGCCTTTGAGGACAGAACCTATTTTTTGTCGAAGAACAGAAGTAATTGCGCAGCTCAGCCATCGAAGACAAGTTCTCATGTTCTCAAAAAAAAAAAGAAAAAAAGGCGCCTCTATTTGGAAATAAGTCGAGGAAAGTTTTAAGATTATTGTTGCGATTTTGACCAAGTAAGAATACTTGGAAATTTCTATCTTGAAAGCGTGATGAGAAATAAGTAAATTTAAACATTACTGTCTAGGCAAGTGGGGTGATGTTTTTATGTTTCCTACGTTTAATTTCAGCAAAAACTCCTTTTTTATACATAAAACTTTAATGGCTTTGGAACTTTTAGTCCTGTTAACCTTGCTTTGATATCGCTCAAATTAACGTAAGAAAAACATAGAAAATAAGGAAATAATATCTCATTTATCTGCAAAAGTATTAGCAGTTGTTAGGCCGTTAACTAACTCCCTAACAGCTGAATAATAATTCCCTAGCAACTTCTCAACTATTAGTTTTATTGACTATTGTTTGATTCAGTGTAATAAAATAAAAATAATAATATGTGTGAAACATTAACACGCTTGTCTGCTAAGCAGCTTTTGAGTTTCTCCCTCTTTCTGTCTCTTTTTTCGTAAATTTAATAAATTCAAGCAAGAAAGGGAAGCAAACTTTAGGTATCCATCCGTATTAAGTCCAGACCACAACTTTTAAAACACTTTTAATTTCTTGCTAATTATTTCCGTTCTCAATTACTTGAGACTTAACAAGTGTCAAATGTAAATCTTTGTTCATAAATTTTTAATTTCTTTTACTCAGTCTAATAATTTTTTAAACTAAATTCACAAAACAATTTTTAAAAGAAAATTATTGTAAGAGCTAAATACTCATATTCAATTTATACCTTTTGCATGTATTTAATTTATCTATATTTTTCAGGTATAGTTAAATCGCGTAGGATTAAGTTTTGAATAATATTTTTTTTCACACTTAAAATCATGTTCATTGGATAGCGGGGGTTTCATGCACATGCGCGCTGCTTGAAACGCACGAAGGAAAATGACGTAACCGAACGAAGCAGACGACCGAAAGTTTTTGGTGGGGGAAGATGTGTGCGTGATTTTGTCTAGCCAGAGTGACAAGTCTTTACGGATTACGATCGACTTTCTCCCTTTTCTTCGTTTACATTTAACACTTCTTTCGCTATTTCTAAGGAATACTTTGAATTTATGAATGATTTCAACTTACTTAGTTACCTAAGTTATTTTGTTTTCCTAAATGTTAATCTTGGGATTTTCAATTCTTAATTATTAACCACGTGCACTTTATTACTTGTAAACTGCTCATTTCTAATCGTTTGCAGTGGGAAAAAAACTTTGCAAACGATTAATGAAATTGATAAAAAAATGTTAAAAGAAATTAACAGAGAACTTGTTATTGCATTGGATACTTTTTTCTCGAATATTGTGGTATTTATTTGTTTAAATGGTGAGAAGATAATAAAAATTAGATAAAATAAAATTGTGGAAATATTTAAAAAATACTCGATTCGACAAGTATTTTCAAGGATTTATATATTTATGAACTGTAAGAAGAGAATAAATCGAAGCAGTTTGTTTTCAAAAGTACACACACTATCCGAATAATATTTTGTTGAAATGAGTGAAAATTAAAAGCCTTTCATCTAAACAGGTGGCAATGCTACCGAAGGAATTATTTCTGCTTGGACAATTGCTCACTGCCATAGGTAAGTTGAATTGTTTTCTTTGAAAACCTCTTCCTCAATTATAAATTCCTATACTCTGAGACAAGACATTTTGGTAGTGTTTTTTAAATAACATTTTGTTATTTTAACGAATCACAATAGTACATTAAAGTAAGTTTATTTTTCAAGTCATATCATAAGAATGGGATTCAAAATTAGTTATATTAATTCTATGGTTGTATTTTAACTTAAAAATTGATGTATATTAACTTTAATACACATAAAACTATTTGTTACTGCATCGTTTGTAACATATATAGCGGCTATAGTCATTGTTAACGGGTCGAATTGTTGTAATCATGAGGAATACTAAATACTTATTCTGATATTTTCTGCTAGATTTTTAATTTTATGTACTTAAATACAAAGTGCATTGAAACGGATTTTAATTTTTGGGCAGTCTAGTTAAAGAAGAACTTATGTGAAGCTAATTTAACAAATATGTAAATTTATTTGTGACACTAAAATGAAGAAAATAAATAAATAAGAGTCTAAAATGCAAACTTTTCCTGTAGTTTTGCAGACTTTGCAATTGTTTACAGGTTACAGAGTTGAAAATTTTTCTTGTAGTGAAAGGGTGATAACGGTGGTGATTAGGATTATGCAGAGACACTGAGCTAATACAATAATTGAAAATGAAGTACTTTTTACTTGATATGCTACTTTTGTTTGGCATAATTTTGAAATGATATGTTTGTTTGATTTTGTTCTAAGTGACTAAGTGACAAATTTAGAAAGGATTGGATGTTAGGAAATTATTCCTGAAATTTATTTAAAATGTCAAATCCTACATTGTTTTGGAAGTTTTATGCGCTTTTTTATTTTAAATTTTTTCTTATAATTAAAGTAATGATGCAATATGTCTGTAGTATAGTATTTATTAGTTAGTAAATTTAAAATTATAGCTAGTGACTGATATTGTGAGAAAATTGACACACATGAATCTGGCCTGACGCTTAATATAAATGAATTTGCCGAAATATAAAAGAAATATGTTTTTTATTTATTTCTTTTACAAAAAATAGTAAAAGGGAGACACGTGCTACAAAATGTCGTTATTAAAATATTGTATGCATTTTTTAATAGCTTAATACAATATATTTATTTAATAAAACCATATAGTATATTTTTGCGAGACGTTTTGGACAAAATAATTAAGTCTATAAATAGTTATTAAAAACTTTCTAGCTAGATAAATTAATAAAATATAATATACAAAGAAACAAATTCTGGTAAAATTACCATAATGTATGGTATAGACATTTCTGTTAAAAAAAATAATAATTTCGGTTAATAAAACCAAAATATATGGTGTTTAAACCATTCATTTAATAACATTCCGTTCACATGGTAACATTTAATCGGAAATTCTGGTTTTATAAATTATAGTTCTTATAACCATTCATTAAGTAAAAAATATAAAATTGAAAAATAAATTTAATTAAATAAATGGTTTTTATACCATGCTTTAAGATTTCAATTCAATGAATTACCAAATTTTATTACATTTACTAAATTTTATCACATATTATATAACCATATTCTATTATTAATTTTACCAAAATCATAACCAAGATGCTTTGGTAAAAATTAATAAACTTTTTGGTGTTCCATTGCGCCAGAATCATGGTAAATTTTACCATACTCTAGATCACTGTATAAGTTCTAGATCAAATTACGGTAAAAGGCACAGAAACTTTTGTGTTGATACATTTTACCATAAAATTCTTCGTATTGAAAAATCGTGCGGAACAAAGAATTTGATATACTGTAAATAAATATATATTGTTGCAATAATTACGGTATAAAATTTTACGGTAAAATGTTTCTTACGGATAATGCACCCCGGGTGCTGGTATTTTTTATGTTATATTGATCCAGAATTTTCAACACTAATGTTTTGAAGATATTTTTTTTTCTCAGTTGAGATAAAATGCTATATGTTGATTGAAGAACAAAATATTGGATGATCAAGAGTCAATTCAAATTAATAGTAGGGTTAGATTTTATCCTATTCTGTTTCCGATATTATTCTAACAGCTGAATTTATATTAGGTTTTATATACCGGTAATTTTAAAAACTTGTGTAAGAAAACATTTGAAAGTAAAATAAAGATAGAATATTCGCTGAAGCACTCACACCGAACAGTTTATTTATCATTATCACATTGAATACTTAACAACAACTTTGTAACAACAATAATCATTTAAATATCAAAAAAATCGATGGCAGAAAGCCGCAATCTCAAAGTAATGCATACACGGAATTGCAAAATAGTGCAAAATTAAAATAGAAAAACATTACAATTACGTAGACATGAGTAAAATTGCACGCAAATATTTTATCTTATTAATAAAAGTGAAAAATTTCAAATTATACTATTATCACCATTTGAGTATGCATTATTTAAAAATTTTAAATTAAACCATTGGACTAAATTCAAGAACGCAAGAATCATTACAATAAAATTATGACGATTGCAATTTCACACAAAACCTTTGCCTTTAACTAGTTAAAAGTAAAGAATTTTGTAAGTAAGAATTTTGAAAATTTTAAAAAGTAAAGAATTTTGCTAAATACAGGAATATTAATGCGATCAGTTTTGATTATATTATTCAAAACATAAACTCTTAAACCGATTTGAGAGTAAATTCCATGTAACAACTTATTATTTTCATTTTTAGCAGTATTTCTGTGCTCCAACTGATACATTTTACTTTCTAAGCAAACATTGTAAAAAATTCCTGATCAAAAAGTTCCGGTACCATTAACCATTAACTTTACCATAAAAGTACCATTAATTTTAAACAACCATTATTTCACATTTAAGATTGGAAAATCTTTATAATTAAATTGTCTTGAATAGAATTTTACGCAAGACCTAAACCATCTATTAAACGAGTAAAGTAATTTGCTAAATGCATGAACCTATGGTTCTTATCACTGCAAGTACTTTAGTTTGTATTATTCAAAACATAAACCCATAAACCAATATCAGAGTACGTTTCCTGTAACAACCTATAATTATCCTTTCTAATAGTATTTCTGTCATCCACCGGTTTGATTTTAATTTCTGAGTATGCGTATGTGGCCATTTTAGAATGTATTATTCAAAACATTAACTTTAAACTGCCATTGCAATAAATTTAAGATTGGAAAATCATTATAATTAAATTATGTTGAATGGAATTTTACGCAGGACCTAAACCGTCTATTAAACGAGTAAAAATATTTGCTAAATGCATGAACCCATGGTCCTTATCACTGCAAGTACTTTAGTTTGTATTATTCAAAACATAAACCCTTAAACCAACATCACAGTACGTTTCCTGTAACAACTTATAATTATCCTTTCTAATTGCATTTCTGTCATCCACCGGTTTGATTTTAATTTCTGAGTATGCGTATGTGGCCAGTTTAGAATGTATTATTCAAAATATTAACTTTAAACCACCATTGCCTTAAGTTAAAGATTGGAAAATCATTATAATTAAATGGTGTTGAATAGAATTTTATGCAAAACCTAAACCGTCTATTAAATGAGTAAAGTAATATGCTAAATGCATTAATCTCTAACCCTATGGCTCGTATAATTGCGGGTATTTCAGTTTGTATCATTCAAAGCATAAACCCTTGAACAGACATCACAGTAAGTTTCCTGTAACAACTTATTGTCACCCTTTCTAACAGTACTTCTGTCATCCACCGGTTTGATTTTACTTTCTGAGTATGCGTATGTGGCCATTTTAGAATGTATTATTCAAAACATTAACTTTAAACCGCCATTGTTTAAAATTTAAGATTGGAAAAATCATTATAATTAAATTATGTGGAATAGAAAAGTTACGGAAGACTTAAATCGCCCATTATACGTGGTGAGTAATTTGCTAAAAACATGAATCTCTAAATTTATGGCACTTGTCACTGCGGGTATTTCAGTTTGTATTATTCAAAACATAAACCCTTAAAACGCCCTGTATATCCCTTGCGACAATTTATTATCACCCTATCTAAAAGTACTTCTGTCATCGATCGGTTTAAATCTCGATTGAGCAAGAAGCGTTAAAAGACCAAATCAACGTCTACTTATGCCTTCTGTATGTTTTCAACCTCCATTTTCACGCACTCTTTTCATTATTGCGGGGCAAAGCGTCAAACGGGAATGCTTAATTGAGGTAAAACGCAGTAATGTCTACAAATTAAATAAAAAAGAGGCAGCAGTAGCACATTATACTTTCTCTCGTATGCCTTGATGTAGAAAGACAGCGGGGGCAAAAAAAACCTAGGATCGATCGTTGGGGTTGCCTAATCCTGCGCGCTTCCTTGGGGGAACTAATTGGAATTCCCCTCCTCACGCTTGCATCAATCCACTACTCCCCCTACAAATGACTTCTGGTTCTACCAATATTCTCCTCACAATATATTCTAAAATCACTGCATATTTCTGCCCCCCCCCTTTCCTGCACGTGATTTGGATGATTTTTTCCCGGTATCTGAATGTTTAAAAGGTAGTTTTCATTTGGTGAATTTTGTAAAACTAGGAATGAAGGCTAACTAGGAAAGAAGAAAGCTAGGAATTCTTCATTTAATAAGAATTTTTTTTTATTAATATTTCATTATTTCTTTCTGAAAATTAAACTATATTAAAAGAAGTTAAAATCTTAAGAGATAATACAATAACGATTCACGATTTCTACAAAGTTAGGGAAGATTCCTACTGAACGTAATTTGATCGTTTTACTTTAAATTGCAGCTTAAAGCTTAATGACATGCTAATTTTGGCCATTTCAGAACTTCTCAATCTTAGTGTTATTTTCATTATTTTTTAAAGTGTGGTTATGATACAAATAGTAGACTAAATGAAGACTAACTAGGAAAGAAGAAAGCTAGGAGTTCTTCATTTAATGAAAATTATTTAATCAATATTTCATTATTTCGTTCTGAAAATTAAACTACAATAAAAGAAGTTAAAATCTTCAGA